TTTTGTCTTTTCATGATAATTAAATACTAAGTATGGTTTTTGTTTTTTTATTTATATGAATATTAGTTGTACCTACCTCTATCCCCACCAAGGGGAACTTTTTCACTCTCCTCTCAATTAGGTTAAGAAACACACCCATTCAATTACTTAGGATGTTAAAATTAGGAATGCCAACAATGCTGTAGTGAAAATGCACAAACTAATTTGAGAACACACCCATCCTATTGAGAAGAACACTAGCAATTTGTGATATTTTGAAATGGAATTGATCTCTAAATTTGAATTTGTCCCTATCATGGATGTTGCCAATTCAAAGATGGCTCTCGATCACCCTTGATTAAGGACTAAAACTATGGCCTCTCTAATTGCTAAAGCTTCAGCATATAAATGGAAAGGATCCATGATGTGTTGGCCAAACACCTTCGAAAAGCACCATTACTATTATGAATCATTAGAGTGTAGGAGGCTTTGGAGACCAACTAGCATCCATATTGCATTTGATGATTCTCACTGAAGGTGTATTGAAACGTTAAATTTTGATCATGATTTGAGTGAGAAATGACAGTTTCTCCTTTGCTTCGAGAAACACTACAAGTTCAATTTGAGATAACTGAATAAGCTGGGAGGGTTAGGGGAGAGATAAATTTGCTAAAAATATCCTTAGTTTTTCAAAATTTCTTCTCTAACCAGAGGCTTTAGAGTATAGGTTTAGGATATTTAGAATTTGAAAGGCCTCTTCAAGAGACGTCTTTCTAAACATCATAGCATCATCTGCAAAGATGTTGTGGGTAATATTAGGGTAGTTTGGAGCATAGGTGTCAATAGCATGCTATAGCGGTAATCTTACTATTCGCTATCCCACTATAACATTTTAAGGGTTGTCTGTTACGTGCCACTATTCGAGATTAATAACTATGGTTTGGTGCAAGTTATAGGCACAAGTTAGCTCCTCCTAACTAAGCTTTCTGTAGCAAAAATGATAGACTTTGGGCTAAATGAAAAGGTAAGGAGATATAGGGTCTCCCTGTCTTAACCCTTGTAAAATTAAGAGAGAGGGAGCATAGAGAGAGAAAGAGAGACAAATTAGTATGCTAGAATTGGATACACTATAATGTGTAGAGACCTCTATATTTATAAGGATACATATGTAATCCTACTAGGTCAAGTCTGTTATTATAATACTAACATAAACCCATTCCTAATAAGTCTATTATAGCTATTCATAACACTCCCCCTCAAGCTGGAGCATAGATATTAATCATGCCTAGCTTGTTACAAATAATTGCTACGTGTCACATTAAAGCCTTTGTAAACACATCTACTAGTTGGTCGCTTGTCCTAACATAAGAGATGGATATAAGCTTCTGTTGAACTTTTTCTCGAATAAAGTGATAGTCTATCTCAATTTGTTTCGTTGTTCATGAAAAAACTGGATTTTGGGCAATGTGTATCGCTGTCTGGTTATCACACCAAAGTTGCAATAGGCTTATGCAACCAAATCTATCTCTTCCAACATATGTTTCAACCACATTAACTCACAAGTAGTCTGAGCCATCACCCTGTATTCTGATTCCACACTCGATCTCGATACAACGTTTTTCTTACTTTTCCACAAAATTAAATTACCTCCCAAGAACATATAGTATCCGCTAGTAGATTTTCTGTCCATACTTCCTACCTAATCAGCATTAGAAAACGCCTCTATCTGTGCATGTCCATGATCTTTGTATCCAATTCCTTTTCCTATTGCTTTCTACAAATACTTCACAATGCGGATTAGTGCTTCCCAATGAGTATCTGTCGGAGATGATATAAACTGGCTAACAATACTCACTAGAAAACCAATATCTGACCTTGTGACAGTCAAGTAATTTTAACTTGCTTACTAATCTTCTGTATTTCTATAGATCTTAAAAGGAACTCCATCTGCTATCAGTTTCACTCCTGGCTCATAGGTGTCTCACATGGTTTAGCTCCTTTTAGTTCAGTCTCAGTCAATAAGTCTAAGACATATTTTCTGTGAAAGGAAGATCCTTACTTGAGTGCATGACTTAATTACCTAATAAGTATTTCATAATTCTAAGTCTTTTTGTTTGAAACTTAGTTTGAAAAAATTTCTTAGGTTGTTGATTCCTTCTTTGTCGCTACCTATAATAATAAATATCATCAACATAAACAACAAGTAAAATACAACCACGGTTAGTCTATTTTTGTAAAACACGGTTATGATCACTCTCACTCCTCACTAATCCAAATTTCAAAATCACGTCACTGAATCTCCCAAACCATACTCTACGTGATTGTTTCAAGCCATATAATGACTTTTTTAAACAACACATTCTTCCACACTCCCCTAAACAACAAAGTCAGGTAGTTGCTTGATGTACACCTCCTCCTATAAGTCTTCATGTAAGAATGAATTTTTGACATCGAATTGGAATAATGGCCAATGATGCATAGCCGCAAGAGAGATGAAGATGCGAACAGATGAGAGTTTAGCAACTTGAGAAAACGTATCTATCACACCCCAAAATTTCCTTACTTTTAGGTTAATTACTAATTGTATCAATATAAATAAATTAGAATTAGATCATATATATATAGTTAGGAATTAAAACACACTTAGTCAAATTTACTGGAAAAACAGACGAATTAAGGAAAAATCGGGTAACGAATTATAATGTGTAATCTAATTTTTATAAAAATAATTACCTAAATTTTTTTTTTTTATAAATTTATACTATATTAATTATGTATTGCAAAATTTATAATCAATTTTGGTGAATAAAAATAGAAAATAAAAAAAAAATAGGTTACAACATTGGCCAAAAAGACCAAAAATACCCCTAGATTAGGCCTAGAATGAAGACCCAAGTTGGATAAGGAAATGATAATGAAAAATTCTGAAATCTTTATGGCAAATTATTGGGCCAAATGAGGTTGTATTAGTTCAAGAACCAGACCCAAACCTCAACTATAAAATTCAAACCAATTTTTTTAAATTCAGCACTCAAAGTGGTGTGAAAAGGGTTAGGCAAATGGACCAAAACTTCCAATTTTGTAATCCTATCTTACCCAACCCAATTGGCACGGTTTTGGCACAAAAAAATAGACTAAATTTGTCAATAATTGGGCAAAATATCAGCTGAAGTGAAGGAAACCAATAAGAAAGAAAACTTGGTTTACTAAAATTCCTTGATGATGACATAGGGTCAATGGTTCAATCCCTAATCAAGGAGTCTAACCAAATGCCAACTAAATCCAACAAAACTCAGCCAAAAATAGTGTTATGTGAGAGGTTAAAATCTGAAATTAGAAACTAGGAACTAAAGGCAAACTAACAAGAAACACTTAGGCCAACTAGATGACATCACAAGGGTCCAAAATATCCACTTTAAGCATGATTATTGGGGACCACTTTTCACCTTGATAAACTCTGAATTTGGGAAAGCCTCCAGCAGCAAAGTTACTCCACTTTAACCTATCTAAATGGTCGTGCACCCTCTGTCCCATAAAAACCAAGAAAAAAAATTAAAAATCATTCCCCAAATACAAGGCCTAAATTCACGTGTAAATAGAGGAAATTGGAAGATCTAGCCAAAATTCCTAAATCCAGCCAAACCAAACTCTTCTATTCACCTGATCACATCCAACACATGCTAAAAATAAACCCCACCACTCAGCCATGTCACTCTCCAAGTCAACAAAGTAGGAAAAACTCCAAAAACACCAAATAACCCACCACCAAATTTAGCAAAAGAACTTCAACATTTGAGGACCTTTTTGGACAAGCTCAAAGCTAACTTGGAAGGGCAATAAAGAGGCTCAAAACAGAACAAGAAAAAGAAGAGAAAGAGGAGATTAAACATCCTTGCAACCTCACCCAAAAAGGTAAAGACAAAAAGAGGATGTAAGTATGCTTGGAGAGTATTAATTATCATACAATAAAAGAGCAATATAAGAGTGAAAAAGTTGTATATGCAAGTAAAATGAATTAAAAAATGTCCAATGATGTGAAAACATCTAATGAGACCACGTTGTATGGTGTAAATCCCTTGTTTATAGCGTGAGCCACTCCTTACTATGTATGCATGTACGTCTTGCAATATTAACATCAAGTATAACATAAACAAGGGTATTATGTTGCATAGGACATCGGTTTTGGCATGAAGTGTAAATTATTTTATTTTTGAGACTTCAGAGTGGTTCCACTAATTAGGGTAATGCTAAAGGTATGGCAAGTCTCCATAAGGAGGATGAAAAGAGAATAAATAAGCCATGTCCTAGGGAGTTCATAAAAAACCTGAAAGTAAATGTCCTAGTTCAAAGAGCTAAGTTCACATGAAAACTTTGAAAAATTTAAACGTGATAAAATTGTTGCCCTATTTGCAAAATTTTGATTTTCATTAAAATTCTTCTTAAATTTAATCTTCAAAATTTTAATTGCTATGATCAAGTCAAGTTACCAATTTTAATGGAGACCAAAATTCAAAGATGAAATTATAGCTGAAAACATTTAGCAAAAATATGAAAAATTTGTAATATGAATTATTTAAAATAATTAATAACTTAAAAGAATTTTGTAATGAAGTTAGTATTTTAAAAAGGAAGAAATTTCAGGATTTAAAATAATTAAATCAACTTATTTTGTAAAAATTTTAAATTTGAAATAGAACTTAAATATAGCAAATAAGGCTTTCGATGAAAGTTAGTTTTTAAAGAGAGAAATAATTAAAGAAAAACTTATGTGGTGTTTATCTATATTTAAAAAAAATTATACGAAAAGAAAAAGATTTATAATCCCTTAAAATCCTTATCATCTAATCTTTTTAAATTTTCGCAAATTAAAAATTTTGTATTAATCTCCATTCCTCATCCTTTTCCTTCTCTGTTACCTTTCATACTCTTTCTTTCTGCTCCTTCCAAGTTCACATTATTACTAATAATAAATAAAGCAAAAGATAACTATACCAAATATGTAAGAGAAGTATGAAATGTATATAAAACTCAGTTAAGTACTATATCTATGTTGTAGCTAACTTGTCTTAATGAAGAAAACAGTTGTACCTTGTATTCGAGTTACAGCATCGACTTACAAAGTGATCGAGAAAACAATGATAAATTGACCATCTCATTAAAAATAATGGTAAAATGTTTAAAAAATTGTTTACTGTTTAATGATATCGATTTATGACAAAAATAAATACATAAAACAAAAGACTATTTGAACTAAATGGGAGTCTTGGTGGTCCTCGTCATGAATCACCTTTTTCATCCCCACCATTTTGCTCTTAACAGGACATTCTGAATCGCCCCCAATATTATGTGCCCTTGCTATTGTTTACATTTAGAAAGCGATACTGCAGAATGTGTCACGTTTTTTTAAAGATAACCGTAGAATATGTCATTGACAGGCTAGTGAATATACTTTTCCTCCCAAAAATATCATGAAGCGATCAAGAAAATCATTCAGACCAGCCAATATAGCATCAATTTATTCCACATATATTCCGCATTGACTCATCTCCACTAAGCTTTTAGGGCCTCAAAGTCAACTTCTGTAGAGCAGCATTGATTCTCTCATCAGTGAACATTCTAATGCTTTCGTAAAAATCAAGTATCTCCATTGATATGTTTTTAACCTGTAAAAGAACAATAGAACAATTATCTAGGAGATAACTTATCTTTATCACTTAAATGAGCAGAATTCTAGCACATCATATTCAGGACATACTGCCTCTTGCAGAGTAGTACTACTAACCTAGTATTTGGTATAGGATGCAGAGTACTACAAATTAATTTAGCCACTGCTCAGTTACTGCAAACATCAATTCCATATTCAAGTAGAGCAGAATAGTTTATAAGGGAAAGAAGCTACCCAGTACAATAAATTCAGCTATTAAATTATGAGTAACCAACAGCCAGCCAGGCCAATAACCAATAATCAAATAATCCAATGCATTCCCCTAGTATATAAGATCCTAGGGAACAGAAAAAGCCATGAACATCGTTGGACAACATACCCTCAACAAGCTGCAACCATTAAAATGGGGAAAATATGATTGACCAACACAAATTCTTATTTATCTTGACCATGTATCTGCATCCTGCTGTTTTCCAGGGATGCTATACAACATATATCTAATAATTTCATGACACAACTTAGATGAAAAATAACAGTACAGTACACTATTAAGTTTTAGATCAAAACTCACATGGTTCACAAACGCCAAAATGTTTTTCAGCTCATACTTAGTCTATAGTTGATATATAGAAAGTGGGGCTCCGGCCACATTACTATCCTAACTCCTAATACAGTAAAATACAATGATAAGGTTACTCTTTTACGCAGATGAATATATGGTGGATTTCAAGCAGAAACGCCGGTGTTAGAATGTATTTTACTTTGTTCTTGATGAATATGCAAACTCTCCTTTGACTCTCATCTAGAGGTGACAACTGAATACCTACCCCAGATCGAGCTATCTTGATTTGAGCTTTGAGCTTTCATTGGATCAAGCTAAAAAAATCCACTGTATTTGGGATACAAAATTGAAGCACAAGCCCAGTTTACTACTTGAATAACTGGACCACTCAAAACCCGATCAAATAAAAGTCCAAACAGGTCAAGAAAAAAATATGGAATTAAATTGGGCCTAAACCGTTAAATTCAAGCTCTACGTTTTAGCAACGGGTTAATCTGTCCATTTTTCCACCTCTACTCATCCGAAAGAATGGCTAAGTACTTGAAGGGACTCGTGGTCATCTTGTGATGATTATTAGCCAACTTATTGGCTGCAAGTTTTAAAAGTCAATCTCTTCATTATTATAAGTTTATAACTATTAAATAATATGGGACTATTTGGCTTTTAGACAAACCATTGACTTTGTGAGGCTGGGACCATAAAGGTCATTATGTTAGAGTTGTGTAGTGATAACTCCATATTTTACTATATTTTTAGTATAATTTTTGTTAATAAATAAGTATTAAAGTGTCAAATAAACTTGAAAACACCATAAAAATTGCATCAACATTAATAATTGTATAAATAGTTGAGAATTTTAGATTTTATTCCAATTCTGAACAATTTGACTTAAAAAGACTTAATTCTTGTGCAGAAGCTTGAGCTGAAGACGTTTGAGTTGACGATTGAAGTGGAGAAAGTAGAGGAATTGAACTTAAAAGATGAAGAATTAAGTGTTATATATTGGACGTAACCACTTTGAGTATATAGAGGTAACACTTTGAAGAAGAAAATTCATGAAGAACAAGTCAATAGCAACTCTAAATGATGAGAGTGAACACTCCAGCAGCAGAAATCTGGATAGACCTTGCGTGTGTTCACTCCAAGCATTTAGAGTAACTACGCTCAAGGCTAAATTGCCTAGGAACCTTGAGCATTAACACTCTATCCACTGAGAGTAGTCACGCACATAAACGCGTTAACACTCTAACTACCTAAAGTGAACACGCACAAGACAAAAACTCAAAAAACACGTGTGTTAACACTCTGATCACGTAGAGTGTCCAAGCAAAAGTAACAGAATTTTGAAAATCACTTCTAAGTGTCAACTTTAGACGATTTGAGTTGCTAATTCAGTTATAAAAGCTTCTAGACGACCTTTCATGCTATAATCTTCAGAGATTAATGTGTGGAACTGGAAAAGGCAAAAAAAACACTATAAATAGAAGTTGAGAGTTTAGATTTGTACCTTTTGTTCATTTTTTGTTATTTTTCACTTTGTAATTGTTTTAACTTCCAAGGAAAGTCAAAGAAAGAGATTGGGAGCAACTTTCAAGCTTCATTACTAGAGGAATCAGGTTGAAGATTGAGTCTTTGAAGATGTTCTTCTGCTCCTTGTCTTCTTCTCTTATTTCTCCTTCTTCCATTGTAATGTTATTCAAAACTTTTTTTTGTTAGGGATCTATGGATCCAGATTTGATATTGTGATGTAGTTTTGGATCTAGACCTTGAGATTTTAATTAAATTGAATATGTGATTCTATTTTTAATGCAATTGTGAACTAATTCTTCATTCAATTGAACTTAGAGGAATTTTCATCAATGAAAATTGAATTTATTTCTCAGATCTGAATCATGTGTCTAGGTTATTGAGATCTTAGCAATAAGTATCATAATCTAATAATCTTATAATTTTCAGAACTTAATGCAATATTTGATTGAATTTCACCTAAGGAATTAAGGAGGTTTAATTAGATATTAGGATCAATGAGACAAAAAATTATCTTTTGGTTAAAGAAGTAAAATTAATTATCAATCAATTAGAATTCTTAAGAGTCCAAAACATTATTATATGGCAATTGAAAATTTTGTGAAGTGATTCCTATTTTTTTATATAGCATTTTTAATACAAATTTCATATTCTATTTTCACAGTACATTTGTTACCTTTTATTGATTTTACTCCTTACTTTTACATGTTTACAAATCTTCCAAATGAATTGTGTGGCTCAAATAATTGTGGAATTGTGAATTGATAAGTGAAAATAAGATCCTTGTGGACGATACTTGAGACTCATATTGATTTTCAAATTTTATTACTTGCTACAACTACCTAGTATACTTACTAGTTAGGAATTTTACGCAAATACTGCTGTATTTTTAATTCAATTTGCGTGTATCATGTAGTCTGATTAGTCCCCCATTATTATTTTTAATGGACTTGCCATTTATTATTATAATATGTGTGAAGACTTGTAAACCTTTGATGTGTGCCAATAAAATATTAGAAGAGAAGAGAACTAAATTATTTTGGTCACCTTGTGTAGCCCATTGCCTTGATTTAGTTCTAGAGGATATTGGAAAGCTTTCAATTTTCTATGCTACCATTACAAATGCAAAGAAAATCACAACTTACATATATAGGCATACATGGATCCTTAATTTGTACAGAAAGCATTCTAAGGGAAGAAAGTTAGCAAGACCAGCCGTAACAAGGTTTGCAACTGCTTATCTCACATTAAATTGCATTATGCAATAAAAAAATGCTCTTAGATCTATGTTTGCTTCAGAAGAGTTTGTTTCTAGTTCTTATGCTAATAGAGTTGAGGCTAAGCGAGTGATAAGCATAGTGTTAAGTGATGATAAATTTTAAAAATCCATCAAATATTGTTTAAAGTGTGTAATTCCACTTGTGAAAGTACTTAGACTTTAGATGGTGATTCAAAACCAGCCATGCCATATATTTATGAAACAATGAATAGAGCCAAAGAGCAAATTGCTGAAAATTTTCAAAAGAAAGAGTCAAGGTATAAGAAAGTGTGGAAGATCATTGATTCTAGATGGAATTTACAAATATATAGACCTCTCCATGCAGCTGCATATTATCTCAATCCTAGGTAAGTAAACATTCTTAATATCTTAAATTTCATTTAGTTGTCTATTCATCCTGACTCTTTTTTATTGTTTGGTTAGGTTCCATTATGACAAAAGCTTTAATCTAGATAGTGAAGTTCTGTATGGCTTATATGAAACCATTGAAAGAATGGTTTCAGATAGAAGGACAAGATTTTTAATTGATCAACAACTTGAGAAGTTTAAGTCGGCCAAAGGATTGTTTGGAATGAATATGACAATAGACACTAGAGACAAGAAGCAACTCGGTAACTCTTCAATCTTCATACTTTGCTAACTTTACGAATAATTATAAATCAATAAGTAACATGACATACTTTGCCAATTGTTTATACATATTTTGTTTTAAATTTTGATAGCTCTTTGGTAGGAGAGTTATGGTGGAGATGGTAAAGAGTTGCAAAAGGTAGCCATGAGAATTTTGAGTCTTACATGTAGTGCAACAAGATGTGAAAGGAATTGGAGTACATTTGATCAAGTGCATACTAAAAGAAGAAATCGCTTGGAACAACAAAGACTAAATGCGCTTGTGTTTGTTAAATATAACTTACAATTAGAGATCAGACAAAAGTGTAGAGAAGAGAGGGAAGAGACTTATGATCCCATATGCTTATCTGACATTGAATCAGATGATGAATGGATTATTGAAAAAGAGGATCTATGATTACCAAATGATTCTTCATGGATGGATATATATGAGTGCTTTACTTTTGAAGAGGGAGATTCAAGCAAGAAAAGAAAAAGAGGTATTTGTGCTGATTTAGAATTAGAACTTGAACAAAAAATACTAAAAATTTAATTAGTCCAATACATATTGTCATGCTTATTCCATTATTTTGGTTTTATAGGTCCAAAAAACTTAAATGCCAAAACTGATAAGAAGGAAAAATCTATAATAGAAAATGATGATGATGAAATTGAAGGCATTATTAAAGAGGGGGTGGAAGAGGAAGAACTTTTGATTTTGGAAGATGAAGAGGATGAACTAAGTGACATAGATCTTGTGGATGATGAATGATCATTCATTATCTTTCGAATTTTTACGATAGTGACTTACTGTCATTTTTTGTTTATCTTTTTGAAAGACTATATCTTGATTTTGAGCAGTCACTTTTTTGATAATATGACTGATTATTATGATTTAAATCTTAATTTGCTTATAAGTGTATGTCACATTGTTAGTGATATATTATTTACTTCAAAATATTAATATATAGATGTTTTTTTATGTTACAATGCTCTTATATTTATGTTTTTTATGTTTTAAATTATTGATCTTGAATTTTACGATTCAAAATACGATTCGATTCACCATTCAAAAAATAGGTCTTACGATTCACAATTTGAATCTCGATTTAACTACCTTGCTTGAGGGTAGTGCAGCTTCGCTACTCGGGAAATTATACTAATATCATCCCACAATTATGGGATACAATGATGGGGTATTTTGGGTGTAATTCTGTAAGAAAATGATTCAATTATTGAAGAACAAAGAGAAGAAAAGACTTTTCTTCATTGAATATTCTCAACTAGGACTGAATTACCCACAATTGAGGAAAAATTGAACGAATATTCCCAGGAATTCGAGTCTAATCTCTCCCAACACAAATCCTAGTGTCGGACCAAATGCCTCCCTTCTCCTATTTTTTTCTCTATTTATTATCGGTTGTTTTACAACTGCCCAACTAATTGGGATTCTCTAAATCTTTGGACCTGGGTTCCTTGCCCTCTTCTTACATAAACTTGTCTAATTGGAGGTTTGGGCCTACTACTAACAATTTCATGTGTGGGTTTGATAGAACACCAATTCAACAATATAATTAAATCACATCCAATGTATTAAATACTGCAGTATGCCAGTATCTGCTGTCCCAAAATTCCTATCACCATAGCAGGCTATCATTATTTAAGTTTTAGATTGCAATTTAAGATCGATGTCAAATTTATCAAGAAATTTGAAAAACAAAAAATGGAAAAAGGACAAAGAGATACAGATTATGACACTTGAATAAAGATGCAACAAACAAGTGCTTAGATATTCAGGGGAGCACTCACCACATTCATATCAACACGAAGTTCTTCAAACCAGACAGTGGTGTCTTTCTCCCTGAGAACACTAGCAATGTATATGCAAGCTAAAGCAATCAAATGTGGAGGATGTACAAGAATTAGGTCCATCTTGTATGTGTCATTTACAAGCCCCCTGCCAGTATCAACATTTATGATTATTAGTTTTATATAAATTTAATTCAACTAAACCTATAATAAATAGAAGTGCAATTCCAACAGCAAACAAGATGGCTGCTAGCACAACAGAAAATGATGCTTAATAGTGATATGACTTTTTTCCAGATGCATAGATTCAGCTACCTACAGCACTGAAGCAACTTTTTTGAAGAAACTACTGCACAGGGCTCAAATTACAACAATGTGAAGGCAAAACAAATCAGAGAAGGAAAAACTTCTCTGCCTTATGGCAAGAGCCCCACAAACTACCCAATTGATTGCCTACCCCTCTTGTTTTCCTCTTTTTCCCTTCTATCCCATGCAGCCTCTAACTCTAACCTTACCACCATGCTTCCCACCCTTGTTGCAACAGAGGCAAGTTTGCTATAGCCCACATATCACTCCACCCTAACACAAGTAGAACTCTTAACATATACTGAACCATCTGTACTTTCAGGTACTAATGCCATAAAAGATTTTTCTAGCAAGATATTTTACAATGGCTTCTGTTGTCTGCATTTATATTAAATAAATAACAGAATAAAAAAGGTACATATACACTCTACAACATTGGTATTATTAATTGAGATCCCAAATTGACTATAGATATGGCCAAAGTAGTACTTATAAAGGCTTAGGCAATCCTTACTCTACAAACTAACTTTTGGAGCAGTTAGGCCAAGCCCAAATTCGAGTATCAAAGCCAATCTGTACCTGATATTGGGCCATCCTCAATTGTCAAAAATAAAAATCAACTTAATCCCACAAATTTTCCCAGTGCAATTAACATAGCCATGTGACTTTCCCAATACAATTTACCTAATCCTGTGACTTTCCCAGTGCAATATAAAAAAATAGTCCTATAATCTCCATGCTTAAAATGTCCAATCCTAGGCATGATGAGGATGTGTTGATATCCTAGATCAGCCAAGTTAATGCTAAAGTAGCGCGCTTATAAAGCCTCAGGTAATCCTCACCTTACAAGTTAGTTTTTATGGTTGATTAAGGCCAAGCCCAAATGGAAAATTCTGATGCTAGGCTCCTGGGCATTTTCTATATCTAAGATTCTAAATTATGTATGATCAAATGTAAACCCAGAGCAACAACTTAAGAAAGCATATAATAAAGGGGAGACTGAGATAAAAGGGGAATTGTAAAATAAGAAAAGAAACAAAAACCTATTTAGAAACTGTTCTCAACAGTTCAACAGGAAGGACTCTTACCAAGTTAGTTGAGTCATGCTTAGATCATTCAGACCTGCATCCTGAAGCAACCTGGAGATTATAATTATAATGATCATGAGAGACTAAATGAATGTACTCTTAATGACAAGAATGTAGGACCAGTGTTGCCATCATCAACATTTAACTTAGAAAAAATCCAATTGCTAAAATGTTCATCACTGGTATCTGTTGCTTATAGTTGGCAAAAGTGAAGACTGAAAAAGAAAGTAACTCAGAATACTTAACACATCTCTGTAGTTATTCATGTGTTTATGAGCTTTTTCTGTATATTTTATTTAGTTGATTAGGCCAATCAATCATGAAGAGAAGGAAAAAAAAAAAACTGTTCCCTAAAATAGAAGGGAAAAAAGGTCTTTAATTCCTCTTTCGTATGGGATAAGATTAATCCAATATGTGTGGCCAACACCTTCAAAATTGCAAGCTTTATGCACCCTAACAAGTATGAAGAGATAAAATTTGTTTTTCCACTATTTTGACAGTTGTGTGTACAAAATGAATAATCAATCTTATCCAACACTTACGGAGATAGTGAACGGTATGGATGGTATACAACCAGGTAATAATTAAGTGCTTCTAAAATCTTCATTTCCATTTCAAGTATGTCCTTGATTTCATATCTATATTTATCATCAACATCTGCGTACAAAATCATTGCACTTTCAGCACAAAAGGGAAATATAAAAGCAAGAGATAACTTGAAAACAACTCACTTTTAAGATCAGAAGTCAAAATGAACCCCAAAAAAAAATGATAAGGCAAGTTAGTTAACCAACAGCATACATAATTTTTTAATGTAGAATACAAGAAGCCGAGCCTGCACTGTGCTTTCTTCTGCTTTTGATGCAAGGTACAAGCATGTTGGAGCTACCAGGCGTGGATCATATTCTGCCATACTCTTCCTTAAAATGAAAAATGAATATAGAAATCAGATGATACTTGTTAAAGATAGTTTATTGAGCATATAACACTTTCAGAGTCAGATGAAGATAGAATTATAAATTAACAGCCTGGACATCAAAAAGATAAGTTATGAACATTCTACAACTCTTTTCTTTCACTCTTCTGCTTATTCCCAAGAAAGAGATTAATTTTCTTCTTCTACAACAAAAGTCAACATGTTCATTTTCCTAATTCAAATATGGTATAAACAGCAGTTGTTTGCTAATAGTCACGGAAGGGGGGGACATTTTGATTGTGCATATCTGACAAGTCTTATGTTGTTTCGACAGATAAAAAAAATGGTGGTGATCAGAATAGTTATGTAGTGCATATAAAAAATTTCAGAATAATGGCTATCCTGCAATTTGCAACTCCATTCCAGCGTATTTTGGGGTCAGCCTCTATCTGAGATTGATAACTATGTCGAACATACCCCAAAATAAGAATTTTTAGTTATTCTAATACAATCACATAACTGCTTTTATAATAAATCTTGACATTAAAAGAAAAAGCAATTATGAAATATAATACTGTAAAGCATTGCTGACTCAAAACATAAATGCTGCAAAACATAAAAGCTATCCTCAATCTAAGAATCCAGACACAGAAAGTCCAATCATTTCAGGAACAACTTCCCTCCAGCAGAGACAAGTTCACCACACATACCTGGTGTAAACGCGCCTCATATATGTAACTGCAGTGGCAACAACCCTGAAAGATTGACCAACATATTAAAGATGGTCATGACACTTTTAACATAAATCAATAGCAAAAGATGTTTCTTAAACTTATGACAAAATGATGAAACTTTTCTTACCACTTCTTGATCAGAAAAATTTAGAATGAAGACACTTAAAAAATTTACAAATTCATTATGATATACATATATGGTATCACTAATAGTTGACTTGACTCCTAATATAACTCTTTCACATGTTCATCCAAACTTATCAAACCAAGAAAGGTAAGGAAACATTATTACTTATAGACATGGTAGTTAAAATCGGGAGTTGAATCATAAAATCATAAAATCGTAAGATTTTACAATTTTGTTCGGCCAAACGATGCAAATCATAGCAGAAATCGCAGCAGGGTAAAATCACAGTGAAATTGTGATTTGAGTCATAAAATTGGTACAATCACGATTTGATTTCAATTTCACCTAATCACGGGTCAGTTTTGGATCACAGCCCAAATCCTTCATAACCCGAGCCTGACCCCACTTATATTTAGGTGCGAACAAAGTTCCATATTCCTAAATCCTTTTCTTTCTTCATCGAACCCTAGACCTTAGAGCAACTTATTTTGCAACATTTCATCGAGTGTTTTTCACAATCTCTCTGTGGTTTTCTCTGCCCCAATCCTGCATGTTAGCTATTTTCTTCTCATCTTGCTCTATTTTTCTTCATGGAACCCTAAACCAACAATGACTTGTTAGTTGTTCTCTTCTTGCTCTTTTTTATTTTATCTTGTCCAAGAATGGCTTCAAACATGCCTGTTGGTCAAAGCTCAGGTGGTGGGGGTGACAGTTCTGGGTAGCTCCTATTTAATTTTGGTGTTTGTGCCTTGTAATATGTCAAAAACATGGTGATTTGGCTATTTTGGGTTGTTACATTATGAATTATGCTTGATAGTCTTATGGAATATGAACTATTTAAGTGCTTTTAGTGATTTAATGTGTTTTTTTTTTAATTTCAGCTATTTTATATGCATAATATGAATTTATATGCATGTATATATGGTTTTTGTAAAATCTTACGATTAAATTTACGATTTTACGATTTACAATTTTTACTTCCATTAACGATTTGAAGTAAAATCCTGATTTTAACTACCTTGCTTATAGAAATATGGGTGAGTTCCATTTCAAATGTGGATGATCATCCTTAAATGTCTAATCTATTCCATCCAAATTGATCGAATGAAATCATCAAAGATTTATGAAACTACAAATGTATTTCATGGATAATACCATAAAATATTCCAATGTTACATAAATAAGCAAATTTTAACAAACATAGGAGTAGAGAGAAACTCTGTTTGGTTCACAAGGAAAGAGGAATTGAGGGGAGGGGAAGTAAGTGAATTTACTATCATATTTTTAAGATAGTCAAAAATACCAATTAAGTTAAATATAATTTGTCCATTTTGTTTAAAAATTTATCTACCCTCCAAATCCCCCCACTTTTTGAGGAGTGTAACAGCTGAGTTAGGAGGGATTTTGGCCTCTCCCATCCTCTTCCTTACAAAATATTGAATTAAAAATGAAAAAATTTATATATAAAATCCCTCCCCTCCCCTCCATCTCCCCCCCCCCCCAACCAAACCAAACTTTTCATATATTGGAAATTTGGAATTTATGAAACATAGACAATAGGATAATTGAATGGGCTAAAAATATTAAAAATTCCTAAAAGAATCTAATCATGATGGAAAAGGAAGGAAAAAGAGTCAACATGATTCATATTACATATTCTTCATATTCTGTTTATTGAAAGGACTTTTGGTCTTAAGAAGTGCAGCAATTCCATTTTTTTTTCTTAATGCAATGCAGACTACACACACTTTCTAAGCGAGCAAGATCAAATCAACATACAATCTTTCTCTAGTAATTCAATGTACTTTTCAGTTTTAATTTATAACCTCCCTCCCTTTTGAGATGCGATAGATTATAAACACAGAGATAGCATTGCACATATTCAAGAAATACAGTTCACACCTCTGCCTCACTTTTACTTGTTGAGCCAATTTCAAAATATCTGCACAACAAAGAAAAAGAAATTTCATAAACATAAAAAATTAAGAATCAAGCACTTCTATAGTAAATGAAAGATATCAACAGCAATAGCCCTATGAATTACTAATGATTTACATTTTTTAAACATCTTTTGAATTCCTTATATGCAAGAATAAGAAAAGAAAAACCATAACAGTATTATAAGGTATAACTTAAAGACCAATTATCATTATAAGAAAATCACCTTGAAATCAATCCCCAACACACAAAACTAAGGATATCAGTAGCAACTACAAATCCATTACCGGACACCACATTAACAAGTAAAAGAATGATAGTTACAAGCAACATCCAGAAGCAAAAGGTTAGAGAACAAGCAGTGGCTTAAGATGCATAAATACAGGTATGGTAGAGAATGAGAAAAGACGTAAAAAAGAGATCATACAATTGGCCATGTGCATCTTAATGAGCTTAAAATCCTCAAGTGTGATACCCTTTTCCTTGTCAAGTGTATTCACCATATCCACATCTTCCTGGTCCAGAAGATGTTTACTGCAATATGCACAAACCCATACCATGAATCCCAAATTAGAACACAGAGGCACACAAAGAGAGATGACAAGGGGAAAAGAGAGATGAAACATACTAATGAGATGATGTCCAGAAATTGGCAGCCATTTCTTCTTCAGAAATCAGATAAACTCAGCCAAAGAGGAAGCAGAAAACAGTGGAAACACTGTGCAAGGTGAAACAAAACCATATAGAAGATGAACCCCACCAAAGATTGATCCAAATTAGATGCTCAAACATTTTAATAATTATTAAGAATGGGAAATGAATGAGAATTTCACAAAATAAAAGAGGGTGAGAACTAAATGAGAAAACAAATCGGGATCCTACATAGGATCGGGAGGGAGGTCCAAGATCGTAAATCCTGTGACGGTAACAAAGATCGTAAGATCCTACTAAACATTCAAAACTATGCTTAAACATATACATAAACATAAAAAATAACATAGATAAAGAAAATAACCTCTAAATCACATAATTTTACCAAACATAAACTCAAAATTCATAGACTTAAGATCTAATACAAGTCAAATAAGAAATAACAAACGAGTGCAGTCACAAAATATTGCAGAATGCCTAGCCACAACACCCAACGCCAAGAAGAGAAACCAAACCTAGGCCGCAGAAAATAGAAGATCAACACACAGAGGAGGAAGCTCGTTTTGAAATGTAGAGCAGAGGTCGCAGAAAAGCGAACATAGAAATAGCACAAGCAGAGATCGCAGAAACCAAACTCAAACCCGCAAAACAGCAGGAGTGCAAATTTTAATGTTGGGTAGAAACGAGGAAAGAGAGAGAGAGAGAGAGATGAGAATATACTGTAACAGGTAAGAAAGAAACATAAAAACAGGATAAGTGGAGAAACCACCAGTTCATGTTCCTTTGATTTTTTTCATGATTTTGGGACAACTTGTTTTTGGGCCGTCAGAATCTTTGGGAGCCGGTGGTTACCTCATGTTTCAGCCAATAAACCAATTGCTTGTTACTTCATATTTTCACAGGGTTTCGCTCTACATATCTTCTTAATAATTCTCCTCCTACTTTATATAGTAAATAGTGAATTAATAAGTCATGTATTTATTATCTTAAAAACATGAAAAATAATTGATAATAAAAATATTTAGCAACACATTCTTTATAGTATTTTTAATTATTTATTAAATTTTATTGAAATTTTAAAAATTATATAATTTTAATTTTTTTCATTCTTAATTTAATATTTTTCTATATTTTAGCTTTTCTATCTAAATAATAATTTTTTTACACTTATTCCAAAATTAGGGTATTGTGTAAACAGTCCTTGTTTAATGTTTTTTTTGTCTCGACAATAGAATTTTTCATGCATCAACGATAGTAAAGTTTTATTATTATTTTAATGCACTATCAAACTAAGATAGTTGATACTAACCTAGAAACATGCATGTGAAGTTTGAAAAATTGGCAGACAAAATAAAAAGAAAAAAATTAAAATAACATAAATAATATTAGAGGAGTTGAGATGATACATAATACATGTCACAGATTGATTAGTATAAACTCAATACAAACGATACATGTTTGAAATAGACAGTTAGGAATAAAGTGTGTCATGTATCCAAATCATAACAAGTATCGAGTATGACCCAACAACTAGGCTATCATCCCCTCTTAAGCAGTATTCGTTTAGATGTTGACACGTTATGTGAACAGGCTCTGCAAGCAACTTTTTTTTTTCCTTTTCCTCCATCGTTTTTTCTTTATTAACGTCGAACAAGAGTTATATGTGGAGTGAGAAATCAAAAGGTAAAAGTTAATTTATGAAATAATTGATATTTTGTATATTTGTGAAAAGAAAATAACAATTTTGTATCTAAAATTGTTTAGTAATGGTGGTGAATTGAAAATTAAATATCATTGGCATCCAAGGTTAGTGATGAGTAGAAATTACATTTGTATTTGTTTTTTAAATTTTGACTATTTATATAATTTATTTTATAATTTTATTAAAAAATTATAATTGAATGTTTATATATATATATATATATATATATATATATATATATTTCTCGATTCTGGATTCTGGATTAGTATATGTGAGTTCATGGAAATTTTTTTTGTGAAATCTGCCATTAGTTGATATATTTATTAGTATATTTAGGTTATTAGAAAGAATGTTTAAAAAAAATAATGACAGTAAAAAATGTAATAAATGAATAATTGTAGTTAAATAATATATTAGGTTTAAAATTCATAATTAAATATATTTATTGGCTAAAAAGGTAATTACATTTAAAAATAAATATTATATTAATGAAAAAGTATGATAAATTAGATTATTGATAATCATTAATTAGAAGAGTGAATTAAAAAATTAAAAAATCTTAAAAAATTGAAATATAGATAAATTAAATTTATTAGGTTGTATTAAATTGAAATATAACCATGAGTTTGAATAAATTTAAACAAAACAGTAAGTTAAAATATTGAATGTTTAAATAAGACAAATTATAAAATTAATCATTGCTAAAGTGATATTAAGAATTTAATTAATATAAAGGAAAAATAAAATTAAATGTAAGTAAATTAAATTCATTAAATAGTAGTATCGTGAAATAAAATATATAATTTAAATTATTTAACAAAATAGGTAAAAATATTAATTAGAGTTAATATCCTAATATTAATTAAGAGAATGAAATAAATTTATTAACTTAAAAATTTTAAAATTTAATAAAGCAACAATATAACTAAATTATATTTTATAATTTTTTATAGAATAAAATAAAATAAAAATTAAATATTTTATTAAAAAAATAATAACATCAATAAAAATATAAATGTCATATATTAAAATTTGTAAAAAATTATGTATGCAACTTTTATTTATTAGATTATAGTGTGTTAATTTTTATTTGACATAATCTTGTTAATTTGTATGATATTATAAATATAGAATATTTAACATTAAATATATAATCAATAAAATACGTTATAAAAGAGAAAAAGCTAATAAAAAATTATAAGATAAGAATTAAAATGAAGTTAATTTTATATAACTGAAATGTAGAAAGAGTTAATATATGTAGAAATAATTTTATACGTTAAATTTTTTTTAATAATTTGTTTATTCAATAATTAAGAAGATTTCTAGGCATGAAATTAATTTGATTTTCTAAACATGTGATTTATTTATTTTTGGTAGACTAAAAAAACATAAAAGCAAAATCATTGTCTGTGAAAAAACAATGTCCAATGCATCACTTAACACTGTATTGCTTATTGTGATGAGATATTATTTGAAGATTTGTTTACCTCCGTGAACATATGCTCAAACCATGAAAAAGTAGCAACCTGATGACAATTCAACCTAGATGATATAATTATTTCTCTGATAAAACATTTTAAAATATAGTAATTTAGCAATCAATGCTCTTCAACAGATAATTTGCACAAACTTTTTACATCTTCCTCAAAGTATTTTTCAATCAAACCCACAAAAGAACAACACAAATAATAATAACAACATTACTGTATGATTTTAATATTTTTAGATTGTCAACAAAATAATTCAACATCTCAAATACAAAAAACAAAAAAAGAATAAGATTCCATTTTAAAAATGAAGAAAGCGTTGTACATGCATTAGAGTAAGGCACTCTCATTGCAGAATTCTAACACTCCATTTCCAAACACAAATAAAAATGGTTGAAATATCAAGAAAGTGAAAAGGGATATTAACTTTTTTATGGCAGGTGTTAGATAGGATTTGAACTTTTTTAGTTAACTAATGTAATTTAAAAAATAAATATTTTATTTATTATTTTTTTCAAACTATTTCCAATGTGAATATGGTTACATGATAAAAGTTTTGTCAATACAATTGGTGAAGTCATCAAATTTTATTTTTTTGAAAAATAAATTTTATCAATCAACATTGTCAAATAAACTAGATGTTGCTGCGTATCACTATTTTTATAATTTTATCATATATTTAGTAAAATTAGAAGAAAATTTCACTATAAATAACATGCCACTTTCTAATAATGACATGTGTCACCGTCTGAGTAAGTTTCACCGTAAAAATAACACCACTTGTAATGCAAGTTTGGCGAGATGTATGAATAATATAGTAAAACTTGCTTATCTTTTGGATATTTCTACATAAGTACATTTTTAATATATATATATATATATATATATTATACAAATATCAACTTTATGATAATAGTCTATATTTTTATCTACAAATTATTATTACATCATAATGACATAAATTTAAATTCATAATTATATTTTTTATACAAATATCAACTATAAAAAATCTTATTTTATAATTTAATACAATTTATTAGTTATTTTTAATTAAAAATATTTAAATTACTAACCTAATTATGACAAATTACTAATTATATATACTAAAAATGTACCTACGTAAAAATATTTAAGAAATAAGCAAGTTTCGCCATATTATTCGATCATTTCCACTAAATTTGTGTTATGTGTCAAATCTCTACAAGTTGTGTCATTTTCATAGCAAAATTCACTCATATAGTGACACGTGTCATTATTAGAAAGTTGCGTAGTATTTATGACAAAACTTCCTTCTAATTTCGTTAAACATATGGCAAAATTATAAAGATGGTAAGACGTGACAACATCATGCTTATTTTGCACTTTTGACGGTAAAATTTATTTTTAAAAAAAATTAAAATCCAATGATTTTGTTAGTCATATTGGCAAAACTTTTGTTACGTGGCCTGATTCACCCTAGACAAGCCCAAAGAAAGAAAGGCTTCCTATACAAATAAAAGAAAAGGGAATGCTTTCTTCTATTTGAATTGAGAGAAATAGTTTGAAAAAACAATAAATATAGAATTAGTGACACCTTAAATTTCTACTTTCAAATTACACAATAATTTGAATAGAATTTGACCTCAATACTCATGATCTGCTTAAAAGCCACTTAGGTCGATCTTCCAAGAGGATCATGGTCAAGATAGGAGTACAAATGGTTTACAACAACTGGAGTCTTAATTGTTCCTCTGTAAATATAAATACAAAGGGTATGGTAGATTCTATTGTTTACAGAAAAATCTAAGAGAAAATTATAATACATATGGATTCTATTGTTTACAGAAAAATCTAAGAGAACATTATAATACATATTCATTTCTAAGGTGTGAATATGTTTAGGTACATTATCATAGCATACAACACACTTAAAATGACAAAACCTCTAATATTCATCAAATACATAATTTATTATACAATTTACTTAACTATTTATTAATCTAATTTACCTTTAGGTTGTCGTCATTCTTGTTCCATGAAATGTTTAATAAGGATGAATGTCTACCTTATCATTAAACATATACCTTATCGTTAAACGTAACACGATTTCATCACAACATACTTATAATCATGGAATAAAAATGAATATAATTACATTAATCACCAAAGCAATACATCAAAAATTCTCATACAATCATGTATACGTAGATTTTAACAGAAGTCATTACATTTCTCTCTTTCAATTATACACTCCTAGTGCATTATGATCACAAATATACGATGTCTCCAGCACTTCTTGAGGTCCTACACAACTAGGTAAATAGTCGCTAGTTAGCCCCTGTACACGAATACAACGTATACAATAATGGGCTCCTTAGCAAAGGTATAATCAGAAGTCTAGTTAGGAAACGAGTGAAGCCATGTGACACATTCGCTCTCAGAAAGTGTCTACACATACACGAATGTCACTCACCACCCTACATTTCTCTCAGATTTCTCATCGTCTCCAGACTCTATACCCTTAGTATATATGTAACTATTCATACTAGATCCATTTAGCACTTTATACTTATCTCATATTTCTTTTTTATATCATTCTCATTATCCAACTAAAGATTGTGCTTAGTAAAGCACTTCGAGATTAAGTTTACAACACAATTTATTTCCAGAATATAGAGTCATGCCAAGTCAGCCAAACATTCATCAATAACATTACAT